TGGGTGGGGTGGCCCGCAAATTTTCCGCCCTGTCTCCCTGCAGACCAGGCACGCCACGGCTGTCCCACTGCGGGCGTGCTCCGAGGCTTTGCTCCCCATCTCCCTGGTCTGCTGGTCAGGAGACGGGGAGCAAAGCTGCAGAGCACGCCTGCAGGTGGACAGCTCAAGTGCGCGCTCCAAGGCTTTGCTCCCCATCTCCCTGCAGACCAGGGAGACGGGGAGCAGCTTTTCTCGCCCCGGAGGATGGGGGTGGCGGATGGACCGCGGCGCATCTGGGCGTCCCACCGCTCCCGTCCTTCAGGGCGAGAAAAACCCTGTTCGTAACTGCGGATCTGCCATAAGTCAGATCCGCGTAACTCGGGGACTGCCTGTATTTATATTTTATAAATGAATACATTGAGGCACAGAGATGTTAAGGCTCAGATCCACCAAGGTATCTAGGCTCCTAACTTCCAGCTGCAATCTCTCTGTCAATCAAGCCCCTTTAAGGTGCCTTAGATGGCCACCTAACCTCATTAAGCACTTCTGCAAATATTGGCCATTGTTTATAAGTTTAATTGACAGCTTCTTTCAACACAATGTTATGAAGAATTCAGCAGTTTCTTCTGTGGGAAAACAACTTTTGGCTTTACTACCCTCCCCGCCTTCAAAATATTTTCACCATACAAGTAATGAAAACTTGATCACTTTTATTAATTGCCTGAAAATGTCAATTTGTAGTTCAGCATACTCTATATATAATATGTTAAAACTCTTGTGTTGTTTGCTTCTGAAAAAAACCTTATATGAACATGATGAAATGAGTCTCTCAAATAGTGTATGCCTTCCTCATTTGTTTTCACTGCATTCATTTTGAATGATACTTAATTTCTTTCTTGTATACAGATGGTGTACTGTAAAGAAGTCTCCTTTTCTGGCAAGAGCACTGACATCCATGACTAATGGCTTCCAATCTCTTGCAGACATGTCTGAAGGTAATGTAACTGGTTGAATTTTGAAAGATCATGTAATCAAGGGGTTTTATTCTTTCTTTTTACTGTTGAGTGAAAAGCACTGTCCTGTCCTTATTCATTACTAAGTTAACTAGTTTAATGTTTTAATAATACAATGTTAGGACAATATATTACTACTTCAATCAAGCATAAGACATAAAGTAGATATAATGACATTATTCTGCTCTAAGTTAGCCTACTTGTACTCCAGAGCAGTGTTTTTGGCATCTGGTCCATTTTGGTGTAAGTCTTGCATTGTTTTGCCTCCCTTTGTTAAACACATTCTTTATGCCTTATTTTGTAAATTTGTGCAAGCACAAATGATTAAAACTACCTAGTCTGTGAATATTCCATTCTAAACATGTTTTCTAATAGAGTTTTAGCAGAATAATAAAAAAGTGGTACTTTCTTAGCTATCTTTTTTTTTTTTTATCCATTGCTTTCATGTGTTCATTATTTCTTTCAACTGTTATATTATTACATATCTGCTTCTTATGGTCTTGGAGTTTCTAGCTAGTTTTGTCCAATCAATTTTTATCCTCCCTAATTTGTCTTGCCTGCTTGTCTACAAAATTACACATTGTTTGTTTCATTTTGTCTAGTTATTGACACAGATCAAGAACCCACTGTAGTTAGGATGTAAACCAGCTTTCTGATTTCTTGACAACCTTTGAAAGCTGTGTCAACAACACACAAAGCAGAAAAGTTCCCATTTTACAGTGTCTTACAACAATATGTAATATCTATTTCTCTAACAGTATTATTTAGTGTAATTCATATTATTTAAGACTTAATTTCTGAGTTCCTTTTGTTTAAAATTCTTGTTGGTGTGTTGAGCTAATGGTTAACTGTGTACATTCAGCATAGAAACACAGGTTCAGGATATACATGTGTTCCTTTTTTCCTGGAAAAGCAGAAAGCTCATATCCATTTTATAGACAGGCACCTTTCCTTTTTCCCTGAGGATGCATTCTTTATAGAGGCTTTCTGTAAGGTGGTGACATGGACAATGGTGAAGGATGGGTGAGAAGAGGGAGAGCAAAGTGAGGAATAGAATACAAATATCTACCGAACAGCTGCCAGGTTTTTATAAATTTAAAAATTATATATGAAAATCCTTCAATCAGATCTGAACTATGGATTATGAGAATTCACACCAGTATTATTTTATATTAATCAGTCATCTAATAAATATGAAACATGCCGCATTCATGTTTTAATTTTAAAACTAAAGTAAATGCAAAGAATAAGTACGGTTAGGCAGCCCAACAAATAATTTTAAAAGCAACAAACAAAAAAGACACAAACGGACAGCATTTTTTAAGTACATCAGAAGCAGGAGGCCTGTCAAACAATCAGTGGGACCACTGGATGATTGAGGTGCTGGACGAATGCTCAAAGAACACAAGGTCATTGTGGAAAAGCTAAAGACTTCAGACCATGTTCCTTGGGGCTGCTCACTTGTGTCAGTTAAACATGTATACATATTTGTAGGATCAGGGCCATCTATTGCAAGCTCTTTTGGGTGGAAAGGGACTATTGTCATTATTGGTGCTTAACAAAAATTAATACAGCAGCATGCTTTCTTGTTAGCAGCATAACTGATACATTAATTTGAAATGTACAGTGGCAGCAAGTAATGTACACCAACTTTTAGTAGAGATGTAAAATGCATAGCAGTATATCTTTTGACTGTATGGGAAGAAAAGCACTAACTTAGCTGAGTTTGACATACAAATATGTTAACTGAAAACTATGTACAGTAAAACTCCATTAGTCCAGCATCCAATGCTCCGGGACTCCTGATGGTCCGGCACCATCAGGAACCCGGAAGTGCTGGGGCAGCCGGACAGGCTTCCCCCCTTCAGCTGCCG